TGGTCCTACCTCTAGCCTAGAAGTTAGGATTTTCTTTTAGGCCTCTGAGGGGGGTCACATAAAAACTAATAAACAGTAAAGATTCTTTCCCTAGAAATGTTTCCACACACAAGAAAATATAGATATTAATATAAAACATCAATGTGCACCCAGATCCTCTGAAATCTTACAAACCTGGGTTTTTAAATCCTAGTAAGAGACAATGCCCTGGAAAGATGTGTGAATAATCATTTCACCACCACGCAATGCCACTCCAATAGTCTAGAGTATGAACTGGGATAGACGAACACTTGATGTAATAACTTACTTTCAAGGGAAGGGTGGAAAGATGTTATTTATTAGTCACTGTTTTATTCAGACACTCCGAGTGCCTAACAGGTACCAGATAAAGTTTGAATCACTGCTCTAAGAATCAAACTTTGTCATTCTTTTCCCACCCCTCACACCGAGCACTTGAACCCTCTTCCTACATCAGAATTCCACACTGTCAATAAAAGGAGTCAAACTCCGTAACATATTTGAAGAGATTTATTCTGAGCCATATTTGAGTGACCACAGCCCATGACACAGCCCTCAGGAGACCCTGAGAACATGTGTTCAGGTGGTTGGGGTGCAGGTGGCTTTATACATTTTAGGAAGATATGAGACATCAATCAAATGCATTTAAGACGTACATTGGTTCAGTCCAGAAAGGCGGAACAATTTGAAGCAAGTGGGGGTGGGGGGTAGGGCTTCTAGGATACAGGTAGATTTTAAAATGTTCTGATTGGCAAATGATTCAGCTATTATCAATAGAAAGGAATGTCTGGGTTATGATAAGAGTTTGTGGAGACCAAAATTTAATCGTGCAGATGAAGCCTCCAGGTGGCAGGCTTCAGAGAGAATAGAGTGGAAATGTTTCTGATCAGACTTAAGGTCTGTGTTGATGTTGAATGCTTGTCAGCTTTTCCTGAATTCCAAAAGGGAAGAGGGCATAATGAGACATGTTCAACACCTGCTTCCCATGGTGGCCTGAGCCAGTCTTCCAGGTGAACTATTGAGTGCCCTGGCTGAGGAGGGTGTCCATTAAGATGGTTGGGAGGGGTGGCTTTGAAGTTTATTTTTGGTTTACAACATGTAAAGTGTGTGTGTGTGTGTGTGTGTGTGTGTGTGTGTGTGTGTGTGTGTGGTTCTGTGTGTGTGTGTGGTGGAGTTTTGCTCCCAGGCTGGAGTGCAATGGTGCAATCTCAGCTCACTACAATCTCACATTCCAGGTTGAAGTAATTTTCCTGCCTCACCCTCCTGAGTAGCCAGGATTGCAGGTATGCACCACCATGCCTGGCTAATTTTGTATTATTAGTAGAGATGGGGTTTCACTATGTTGGCTAGACTGGTCTCAAACTCCTGACCTCAGGTGATCCACCCACCTCGGCCTCCCAAAGTACTGGGACTACAGGTGTAAGCCACCATGCCTGGCTTACAACATGTAAAGTTTTGAGGGGAGACAGAAGCCACCTCCCTCCCTAGAAGAGCACAACACTCCAGTCACCCCTGCAGTTGATCATGGACATGAGTCTTAGGCTGCACCAGGCAGATAAGCACCTGCTGAAGTAGCATCTTTCTCTCTAGTAAATGCTCAGGGTTCATTGTTCTGCACCAAGAAGATTAAGGACACTGACACACGAGGAGTGAGTTTAGGAGCAGAGGTTTAATATGCAAAAGAGAGACAAAGGGAAACAGCTCTCTCTCTTGCGAGACAGAGGGGCTCCTGAAAGGGAATTCCGGCCTGGAATGGGAGTGCATTGGATTTTATAGGTAGGCTTGAGGAGATGGTGTCTGATTTATCTAGTGCTCACAGGTTGGTTGGACCAGGAGTGACATTTACACAGTTCATGGGGAAGGCTGTTCATCCCACCCTAATCCTATTATGCAAATGGGCTTTCCACTTGGCTGGTCTCATGTTGTCTGCTCTTTACTGTACACATGGCTGGTAAAGAGAAGGGAAGATGGAGCCACCATGGTGACCATGCCTAGTCCCAGGTGTCCTTTTCCTATTGGCACAGCTGCTGCATTCACCCGTGAGAGCTTCCAGCTTGCCTGTCTATGTCTGAAGCTTGATTTTACAGGCTGCTCTTTGTTAGAAAAGAAAATTATTTGGGGGCTGCTTTCCATTAAAAGGAAAACCTTACTGAGGGCTTCCATACCCTCGCTATCTGCCTAAATAATTTCTTCTTAACTCCTATATCACTGCCAGACTCTAAACCAGAATGAGGTGACACAGAGAGGCTGGGACTGTGCAGAATGCATTTTAGTAAAGATGGCTGAGTGGCAGTGGTGATGTCCAGTTTTCAGGTGCAGCAGTAACATCTGTCATAGCCTCAGGGTCCAGTGTCCAGCACCAGGGAGTCAGAGGTGTGAGCAGTGGCATCTGTGCTCAGCAACAGGGGCATTTGTTCCTAGGAGGGACCTCATCCCAGGTGGGCTGTGGATTTTGTTCCTGGTTGTATAATTTCCATTCTTGTTCTGTGGCCTTCCCCACAATAAAATTAGCCCCCAGTGCCATGTTATTATTACTTTATGTATACATTAGAGAAATTTGTTTTCCATAGTTTGCTCCAATAAGTGAGTGAGAAATCAGCATGTGGCCCAGTGTCAGAGAGCAGCATTCAGACATGTTCTTTGTGTGAGAGCCACATCCTGAATTGTCTACCTGGCCTCTACGCCATGGTGGAGAGATCAACAGAGAATATCACATCTCATAACTGATGATATACATCCTCCCTTTTATTTCTGAGGGAAAAATCTTCTTTTATACAAGGTTTGAAAATCCACCCCATTCACCCACCCTGGGCACTCTGATCTCTGATCTCAGTGGTTCCCAATCTGGATTCCAACAGCGAGGACAGGGGCTTAGAAAATACTCAGGCTGCTTCCCAGAACGCCTGTCTCAGGGTATTATACACAAGACCAAAAAATCACTTATATAACGAGCGCTACAGGCAGGCTCAGACATGTGGGATCCTGGTGTTCTTGATCCGGAGACCAGAAACGTAGGATCCAGTCTTGTCATAAATCCAGAATGTCTTGCTCAACCCTAGACTTCTTGGATCTGAGAACCACATCCAGATGATCCCTGTGCACATGGGAGGTCCTTGTCTAAGTGTCCTCTAGGCGTGGGGTCAGAACTGTGCAGTCTGCTCTCGGTGTGGTCTGATCAGATCCCTTAGAACTGGAGGTCCAGGGTTCAGTCCTTGTGCTCATTCTCTTCTATAGCCAGTCACTTCCTTGGTGCCCTCATCCATGCTTAAGGTTTTAAGTGTTGTTTATATGGTGTGACCTCCTAAATCTATTTATCCAGCCCAGTCTATTTCTCATTTCCTCTAAACTCTGGAGTTGTCTGTCCAACTGCCACCCCAGCTCCCTCACCTGCATTCCTAGTAGACATCTCCTCCACTGAGTGACTGGGAGGCCCCCTCCTCAGTATGCTACTGCCAGAGTCTCCCCATTTCACAGCAGCTCTACCCTTCCTTCAACTCACTCATTTTACAACTATGGGTGTCCTTGATTCAAACACAGATACAATCTATTGGCAAATGCTGTGAGTCCATCTTAAAATGCATCCGGAATCCCCTCACGTCCCACTATTTCCCCTGCTCACACCCCAGTCAAGGTAACAATATCTCCAGCCTGGAATACTGCACTCGCTTCCCACTGTTTTCCCTTCTGCCTCCCTCATCCCTCACCTCTCAATTCTGTTCTCAGCACAGCAGTCAGAGATCCTTTCAAAAGAGAAGTTGTACCACATCTCTCTTCTGCTCAAAACTGTCCACTACCTCCCCATCTTAGAGCAAGGGTCAGATGCTTCCCCACACCATCCAGGCACACCTGCCCTGGCTGTACCTTTGACCTCACCTCAGATTCTCTCTCTCCAGCCCTCTTGGGCTCCTTCACTTCCTGGGAACACAGACACCTTCCTGCCCTAGTGCATTTGCACTGGAGGTTCCCCTGCCTGGAAAGAACTTCCCCAGATATCCTCGTGGACAACTTCTCATGTCCTTCAACTGTTTCCTCAAAGGTCACCTTTACAACGTGGCACACACTGACCACCCAGCACCACAGCCACCTTCCCTGCCCCCACTGCCCACACCCTGGATTACCTGCCTCACAGCACTTCCCACCTTCTAGTACTTTCCTTCCTTGCTCTGGTGATAGTGTATCTGTTGTCTCTCTCTTCCCACTGAAACACATGCTCCACAAGGTTAGAGATTTTTCTGATTTTACTTCAATGATGCTCCCCATATGCAGAACCACTCTGTCCTATGTCTGGCCGACAACAAAGGTCACTGCAGAGCATCTCCTATTCTAAAGGAGGTATTTTTATTAACATAGACTAGGGCCAAGTGCTGTTTCTTGGCAGCTATGGCACAAGGTCCCCTCACACTGACATCGAAGCTACCTGTGCTTTTCTCAGTAGGGCTGCTAGTGTGTCCTCCCTCCCCCATCCCTCCTCCCACACCTACTCCCAACCCACACACACCCCTGCACACTGCAACACACAATCACGCTTCTCTCTTCAGGAAAGAATAGTCCTTGATTATGGGTCCAATTTCACAAACAAATATAAGTCTAAATTAGATTCTGCTTTATAGATTCATGAGTTGGGATTGGAGCCAGCACCAAGATCACTAGAACCAGAGCAGGGAGAGAGGGCAGGAGAGCAGAGCAGAAGAGGAGTCCTAGAAGGAGGCCAGGAGCTGAATGGGTCTGAAAATTTATCTCAGAAACACAGAGACTCCCGTGTGCAGGGGCCGCCCTGGTCTATGTGTGAGCTTCTGTGGTCACAGCTCCAGCTAGACGAGTTTCCACTAAAGGGACAAGGACAATGGAGCAGTGAAGCTGACCCGGCTGAGAACTGACCACATAAAGCCCATGACGGACTCAGCAGGACACAGGCCCCATCCACACTCGGCTCCTCACAGCCTTCTCCATCCCCATCTGCAACAGACTCAGCACAGCAAACATGGATTCTGGAAAGTTCTGAGGTCTTTATTTCCTCTCTCAAATTTTAGGAATTGACTTATTTAATTAACCCATCAACCTCTCATGGAAAATAGTTGAGAAAACACATTTATATTCAGATTTTTGTTTTCCACAGGGAAGTAGGCGATTGCACCTCAGGGCACCATGAAGTTGAGACAGAGATAGAAACACCATGCCCCACCTCTCTGGAACAGGAAAGATGACTGTGGAGGAGGGAACACAGGTCAGCGTGGGGACAGGGGTCATGGTGGACACGGGGTGGGCTGTCTCTGCACCTCCTCACATTATGCTAACAGGGACGCAGACACATTCAGATGCCTTTGCGGAAAGAGATGCCAGAGGCTCTTGAAGTCACACAGGGGAGGCGTGAAGAAATCCGGCATCTCAGTCCCACACAAGCAGCTGTCTCAGGCTACAGAAAACAACAGTCATGAACAAATTCATGTCAGTCATGGTAAGTGATGACTCTCTGAACAGCCGACTACACACTGGAAACGTCCCAATCAAAGAATCATCATTACCCAGTCCTTTCTCCTCTGCCTTACCCCATACCCACTTCAGACCCCCAGAATCTCACCTTTACAAGCTGTGAGAGACACATCAGAGCCCTGGGCACTGTCACTGCCTGGGGTAGAACAAAAACAGGACCTGGTCAGACCCCACAGGAGATGTGGGACAGGAGGAATTATGGGGTGGGTGAGCTCCTCCACACTCCCACCCCCACCACTTACACGCAGCCTGAGAGTAGCTCCCTCCTTTTCTACCTGTGGGAAGAAAATGTCCTGTGAAGGGCAGGAAGGAGGCAGGGCCATGGGACTTTAGAGGAACCTCCTAGTCTTGGACCCAAGAGAAGCTTCTAGAACCATGATTACACACCCAGGGAAGGATCAGGAAACATGAGGAAAGCAGGTGTGGGTCCTGGACTAACCACCCTCCTAAGGTCTGTCCTTAGCAGGGACATTCCCCTGACTTGTGAATGCTGGAATCAGGTCCCAAACACCACAATCATCAGATACATCTGTCCTTCATTGTCATATCTGCTTCACAAAAGAATAAGTGCTGGCACAGAGGGCCCCAGGGTGGGTTGGCCCATGTGTGGATGGTGATTCCCAGTAATGAGGCAGGACACACTTCCACCTGGGACTTGAAATACACAGCGTGACAAGAAAACCCAGACCCCACCCCTCACCCCCTCCCTACCTGAGCTCTTCCTTCTCCACATCACAGCAGTGACCACAGCTCCGATGACCACAGCTCCTAGGACAGCCACAGCAACGACGCCCACGATGGGGATGGTGGGCTGGGAAGATGGCTCTGGGAAAGGAGGGGAAGGTGAGGGGCCCTGACCCCAGGCCTCAGCCCTGACCCTGCTGAGGGCTCTAGAAGAGCTCCTGCTTTCCCTGAGAAGAGATGTGACCCCCTCATTATCCCCTCCTTATCCATCCCCCTCCTTACCCCATCTCAGGGTGAGGGGCTCGGGCAGCCCCTTGTGCTGCACATGGCACGTGTATCTCTGCTCTTCTCCAGAAGGCACCACCACAGCTGCCCACTTCTGGAAGGTTCCATCCCCTGCTGGCCTGGTCTCCACAAGCTCCGTGTCCTGAGTTTGGTCCTCTCCATCCCGCTGCCAGGTCAGTGTGATCTCCGCAGGGTAGAAGCCCAGGGCCCAGCACCTCAGGGTGGCCTCATGGTCAGCGATGGGGTGGTGGGTCACATGTGTCTTTGGGGGTTCTGATGGGAAGAATGAGAAAATTCATGCAATTTGCATCTCTCATGGGACACTTCAGCAGCACCCATGTGACCATCCTGAGAATGGAGAGGACACCTGGGGTGGGGAAGGGAGCACAGAACCCAGACACCAGCCTGGACACAGGCACCCGCGATAATCTATTCTTTGAAAAGTTCTAGTCTCTGAGGGAAGAACAGGGACTTCTGGTCCTGACCTCACTGGAGGCTGAGGGACTGAGAAAAGTTGGAATCGGACCTTCAAACACATTAAGTGTGAAGCAGAGAACAAGACCTGAGAGAAAAAGTCACGGTGCCCAAGGCGGCTGCAAGGGTCAAAGGGGACTCCTATCAGTATTCCAGGGACCATCTTCCCCTCCATTTTCTCAGAGACGTCATCTCTTACTTGTCCTAGAGAGCAGAGGGGGCCTCAGAGGAAACTCAGGAAAACTCATGCCATTCTCCATTCAAGGGAAGGTGATATTCTAGCGCTGATTCCATTTCCTCCCCTCCTCGTGGGAGGCCATCCAGAGAGATCTATAGGAGATGGGGAAGGCTTCCCACTGCCCCTGGTACCTGCAGCCTCCAGCGTCTCCTTCCCGTTCTCCAAGAATCTTTTGAGCATCTCCACGCAGTCCCCCTCCAGCTGTGCCCTCAACTGCTCTGCATATTTCTCTGCCTCCAACTTGTGCTGGGTGACCTGAGCCGCCGTGTCTGCGGCTGTCCAGGAGCGCAGGTCCTCGTTCAGGGCGATGTGATCCTTGCCGTCGTAGGCTATGCGGCAGTACCCGCGGAGGAGGCGCGCATCGGGCCCCAGGTCGCAGCCAAACAACGTCTGGAGGGTGTGAGACCCTGGCCCCGCCGTTGCGGTCAGCCCCGCACACCCAGCCCCGCCCCTACCAAACCGCAGGGATTTTGACCTAAACTGAACAGGAAACTGGGTAAAGGCGCCTTGGGGCTCTTTCCGGTCCAGGGTACTGGCGGATTCTGCAGTCTCGGGGTGGATCTTGGGCCCAGAGACTCAGTGGGACCCGGGCCGTCCGTGGAGGATGGGGAGGGGTCGTGACCTGCGCCCCGGGACAGGGTCACTCACCGGCCTCGCTCTGGTTGTAGGAGCCCCGTATGTCCCGCAGTCTCACTCGGCAAGTCTGTGCGCAGGCCTTGAGTCCCTGTGTCAACCCTTCCCAATACTCCGGCCCCTCCTGCTCCGCCCAGGGCGCCCGCGGCTCAGCTCTAGGAATCGCGGAGTCGCTGTCGAACCGCAGGAACTGCATGTCGTCCACGTAGCCCACGGTTATGAAGCGGGGCTCCCCGCGGCCGGGCCGGGACACGGTGGTGAGAAAAATGTTCACGGAGTGGGAGCCTGCGGACAAGGAGGGACTGAAACCGCCCGACGCTCCTGTCGGGGGAGCTCCCCAGGTCCTGCGCCCCCGCCGGGCGGGCCCCTAGCTCCTCCCCTCAGAGGCCGTTTCCCTCCGGACCCCGCACTCACTCGCCGAGGTCTTGATCAGGGCCAGGGCCCCTGAGAGCAGCAGAAGGAGGGTTCGGGTCGCCATGACCCCAGCCTCCGCGTCCGGGGAGAATCTGAGTCCAGGTAGGTGACCGGGGGCTTCAGAACCGGGACGTCGGCGACGCTGATTGTCTTATCTAGAAACCCGGCACCCAATGGGAGTGGGAACTGGGGATAAGCCTAGAGTATCCAGGAGGAAGGACCCGACACAAGTTGGGAGAAGTGAAACTCGGGGGATTGGGGAGTCCCCAACGCTGCACTTCCCTAATGCAAACAAGCCCCTCGGCGCCTGAGACTCTGAGACCCACACCTGGGACCTGGAACTTTGTCCTGATCCCTCTTCTCCTACACCAAGCCTCTTTGTCACACTGTCTACCTGAGTCCTGGTCAAGGATCTATCTGTGGAAACCAGGGAGAGACCCCCTAGGCTGCGCCCACCTCCTTCTCCACCACTTCTAGACCTGGAATCCCCTTCCCTGAACTGGACTCCCTGCCTCCCGCTCCTTACCTCTCCCCTTGGACTTTTGTACAAGGAAACTCACCACGGGGAACTTGATGCCAGAGAGTGAGCTCGCCCTGGGAATGGAGTTGTAGAGACAGGGGTTTTCTCTTTAAACCTGGTGAAGTTTTGCCTGAAGGCACTAGATAGAGATTCTCATAGAGACCAGTTTCCTTTTTGTTTATTAATACAGTAGGTAGCACAATACTGGTAATCCCTGAATGATTAGAATTCCAATCTGTCAAAGACCTGCGTCAAAACAGGATTGCAATTAAACTCTCAAAGCTCCTAAGTTTTACTTTCCCAGTCTATGAATCTGTGACTCTGGATTGTTGCATTTAAAATTATCTTCATTCCCTAATCACAGTTTTCCTGTGTGAGTCCAGAACATCTCCTGAATACAAAGAAGCAGGTTTGTTACTGTATATGGAACCGGGAGCCTGTAGTCATCACTCAAAGTTGTGAGTGCTCCATGCAGTCCCAATGCTCTTCACCAGCACTCAAGCACTGCCTGCTTTTGTGAACTAGACACATGTAAGCAGTGTGCATATTTTATTCGGACACTTGGTGTTTTTGTAACCCCCCCCCTTTTTTTTAAATCATAGGAAAGCCATTAGTTCTTAGACAGTCCCACAAAATGTATTAAATACTGAAAGCAAAGAGCCGCTTCCTATGCTCTTCCACTGCTTTAGAATTCTCTCCTATCTCCTTTTCCTCACCTCCTGCTTCTCCAGCCCTTCTCTCTGCCCCTCTCATCCCTCAGACCCTACTGTCTCCTCAGTTCCTGTTGCCCAGTCACTCTCAAATTGTGGCACCGTAGAGAACAGTTCCTTTTCCCTAAAAACTTTCTTTATGTCCCCTTTTATTTAATCATTGCCTCCCACTCTCACCCCTTCCCTTCACTCAACAACTGCCCTGCTTTCTGTGACTGCAAGAGTGAAATTTCTAGAATTTCATGGAGATGCAATCATGTGTAGTCCTTTGTTTGACCTCTCACTCAGCATAACAGTGTTTGAGATGATGCCATTCATTCATTTTTGTTGGGGAGCAGCTGCCCAGTATTGCTGGAATCCCAGTTTACTCATTGGTTTCTCTATTCTCCAGTTGATAGACATGGGGATTACTCCAGTTAGTGTTTGTTATCAATGAAGCCACTATAAATAACTGCTCACGAGTGTGGCCTTACATTTTTATTTCTTTTGGATAAATACGTATATGTGGGATTGCTGGGTCATGTGGTAATGGATGGGCAGCTGTGTAAGAAATTGCCAAACTGCTTTACAAATTGGCGGCAACATTTTTTGCATTTGCACCAGCAGTATCAGACCTTCCTATTTTTTCCAGATTCTTGCCAGTATTTAGACTTATCATGTATCTTTTTAATTTTACCTATTCTAGGTGTTGTGAGGTGGCTTCTCACTGTAGTTTTAATTTGCACTTCTTTGATGACTAGCATTGTTTGCTATCTTTTCATGTTCATCCAAGTGACATTACATATATTTTATGAACTCTTTGGTGAATTCAGTGATTAATTTCAGAGATTTTTTCCAAATTCCCTAGTGTTTTTTACATATGCAATGAAGCTGGTGACAAAGAAAGACATTTATTTCTTCCTTTTAATCTTTTTTCTTTTAAAAGTATTTGTATTTAATAGAGATGAGGTCTCACTATCAGGCTGGTCTCAAACTCCTGAACTCAAGTGGTCAGCCTTCCAAATTGCAGGGATTACAGGTATGACTCACCATGCCTGGTCTTTCTATTGGTCTTTTATTTCATTGCCTTGCCATGTTGCACCAGTTAGGATGCCTGTTAGGTGTTTAAACAAGAATGATGAGATGTTTGTTTTCAAAGACCTTAAACAAATGTACAAGAAAAAACCCAGCCCCATAAAGAAGTGGGCAGAGGATATGAACAGACCCTTCTCATAAGACATTTACATGGCCAGGAAACATATGAAAAAAAGCTCGATATCACTGATCATTAGAGAAATGCAAATCAAAACCACAATGACATATCATCTCTTGCTAGTCAAAATGGCAATTATTAAAAAGAAAAAATAGATGCTGGCAAGGCTGTGGAGCAATAGGGACACTTTTACACTGCTAGTGGGAATGTAAACTGGTTCAACCATTGTGGAGGACAGTGTGGCCATTCCTCAAAGATCTAAAACCAGAAATACTATTTGACTCAGCAATCCTATTACTGGGCATATACCCAAAGGAATATAAATCATTCTACTATAAAGACACATGCACATGTATGTTTATTGCAGTACTATTTACAATAGCAAAGACAGGAAACCAAACCAAATGCCCATCAATGATAGATTGGATTAGAATAATGTGGTACATATACACCATAGAATACTACACAGCCATGAAAAGCAATGAGTTCATGTCCTTTTCAGGGACATGGATGAAGCTGGAAGCCATCATCCTCAGCAAACTAACACAGGAACAGAAAATCAAACACCACATGTTCTCACTTCTAAGTGGGAGCTGCACAATGAGAATACATGGACATAGGGAGGGGGACATCACACACCAGGGCCTGTTGGGGAGTAGGGATTGAGGGGAGGGAACTTAGAGGATGGGTCAATAGGTGCAGCAAACCACCATGGCAGACTATGTAACAAACCTGCAGGTTCTGCGTGTGTCCTGGAACCTAAAGTAAAATAAAATAAATTAAATAAAAACGGAAAGTGCATGTCTTACATGTACGCATATGTTCATTGCAGCACTATTCACAATAGCAAAGACTTGGAATTAACCTAAATGTTCATTAGTAGTAGACTAGATAAAGAAAATATGGCTGCCTGTAATCCCAGCAAGTTGGGAGGCCGAAGGCGGCAGATCATGAGGTCAAGTAATGGAGACAACCCTGGCCAACATAGTGAAACACCATCTCTATTAACAATACAAAAATTAGCTTGGCGTGGTGGCGTGTGCCTCTAGTCCCAGCTACTTGGGAGGCTGAGGCAGGAGAATTGAACTCGGCAGGCGGAAGTTGCAGTGAGCTGAGATCATGCCACTGCACTCCAGCCTAGTGACAAAGTGAGACTCCATCTCAAAAAAAAAAAAAAAAAAAAGAAGAAGAAGAAGTGGGAAATATACACCATAGAATACTATACAACCATTAAAAAGAATGAGATCATGTCCTTTGCAGGAACATGGATGGAGTTGGAGGCCATTATCCTTAGCAAACTAAAGCGGGAACAGAAAACCAAATACCACATGTTCTTACTTATTAGTGGGAGCTAAATGATGAGAAAACATGGACATGTAGAGGGGAACAACACACACTGGGGTCTACTTGAGGGTGGAGAGTAGGAGGAGGGAGAGGATCAGGAAAAAGATCTAATGGGTACTCAGGGTTAATACTTGGGTGGGCAGTAATGGGTACAGAAATAATCTGTACAACAAAACCCTGTGACACAAGTTTACCTATATAACAAACCTACACACGTACCCCTTAACTAAAAATAAAAGTTACAAAAAAAAAAAAAAACGAAAGAGAAAAAGAAAGTGTATGTCTGGAAACTGCATATAGTTTGGTTCTGTGTTTTTTTTAAACCAAGTCACACAATTGCTGCTCTTCACTGGAGTGTTGATTCATGTAGGTTTTTGTCATTATTGATGTGATAAGTTTTAGGTCTACCACGTTATTTTCCCAGGTTTGGTTTCTCTGTTTCTCCTGTCCTGACTAATGACTTCTTATTAGAAACCATACAAACAAAAGAAAGTAGAATAACATCTTTAAAGTGCTGCAAGAATAAAAGGTCAACTAAGAATTTTATATCCAGCACAGATGTCCTTCAAGGAAAGGCAAAATAAGGAGATATTGCAGGTAAAAGAAAAGAGAAGTTGTCACCAGCAGATCTGCACAATAACAATTGGTAAAGAAAATTCTTCAGGCTAGAGGCAAATGATACCAGGTAGAAAATGGGATTATCAGAAAAGATGAAAATGATAGAAAATGGTAAATATTGAGCTAAGTGCAAAAGACTATCCTGCTCCCTTCATTTACTCTTACTTTATATACATCAAATTGTTTAAAGATAAGAAAAAGTAAAAAGTTCTTTTTTGTGGGACTTATAACCTATATAGATATATTACATATAATATCTATATCATAAAAGTTGAACATTTTATAGAGGATAAATGGTTGCAAGTTTTCCATATTTATGGGTACTAGTACATTATTGACTGAAAGTGAACTATGAAATGTTAAGAATTAATTAAATTCTGAAGGAAATTGGGACACACAAAAAATTCAAAAGATCAACAAATCTTCGAGATGGTTTTTTTGAAAAAAAAAAAAAAAAAATCTTAGCCAGTCTTGAGTCTCATCATCCTATGATTTCAGAACTATTATGAGTACAAAGGTAATCAAAGAACAGTCCTGCCCAGAAAGAGGAGTTATCCCTATATATGGTGGCCCTGGGACAGCTGGCCCTCCCTGCTGGACCTCCTCCGTGTGAGCACTTTCTGCAGTGACTCTGTTGCCCTGTTATTCCACTCTATCCAGTGTCCTGACCCAAGAGACAAGGGGTGTCTGCTGCTGTGTCCACACTTGGAGGAGGAAATCTTGATGGTGTCAGTACAGTACAAGCCAGGATGACAGCTCATGCCTGTAATCCCAGCAATTCAGGATACTAAGGCAAAAGGATCGCTTAAGATCAGGAGTTGGAGACCAGCTTCAACAACATATGAGACCTTCATCTCTAAAAAATAAAATAAAAATAAGTACCCTTAGCTGGGCATGGTGGTGAGCACTTATATTTCCAGGTATTGGGGAGGCTGAGGTGGGACGATCCCTTGAGCTCATGAATTCAAGACTGCAGTGAGCTATGATTGCACCACTGGACTCCAGCCTAGTCACAGAGGGGCATCTTGACTCTAAAAAATACAATGTAAATCTTTGCTCACTATGGTTATTTTAGTTGTTATTTATTCGATGTATATTTTGATTTTATTTTACTGGCAGGGCAATAAACCAGAACATGCTGAAACTAGAAATCGCATCCACTTTCCAGTGTTAAAAAGCCTAGTCCAAGGAGGTGAGGAGACGGTCCTCATTGGCCTTGAGGATTCAAGGAGAACAAGATGGACTGGGCAGAAAGGTTTTTACTTGGAACCTGGAGGATGAGCAATGACATCCCTCTCTCCACCTTAAAGCTCATCCTGGACATCCACCTCCTGGGAGCAGAAGCAGCGCAGCAGCGCTACCTGATGGTTCATGTGCTTCCTTTTGCAGATCACGCACAGCCCTGAGATCCACCTCTCCTTTGCAGTTGGGATTTCTTCACTGGACACCAGGTTGAATCAACTTTCCTGTAAAGCAAAAGAAGTGTGAGGTTGCTGGGGTAGGAATGGTGTCATCTCTACCTTTGGCGAGATCCATGTCACGTGTTCAGGGGAAGGGCCAGGCCTTACTCTCCATGCAGAGAGGAGGCTCTGGCCATGAAGGCGCCTGTGGAGAGGTGAGGACCAGCTCCCGCTACACTGATGGCCAAGAGGCTGCAGACAGCAGAGAAGGCTTCCCCTCAGCTGTGTCCTATCAGGTTTTTCCAAAACTCAAGGAATAAACCTGTATATTGCCTCTGGTGATGTGAGCTGCATGCACACTTAGAAGTGAGGTCACCCTGCTGGGGCTCCTGGGGTCGCTGGTTGTTCTGGGTGCTCGGTGTTCAGAGAGGAAAATGCAGAGGAGGCTTTGTGCAAAACAGGAATCATACTTTATAAATTATTTTTTCATTAACCTTTGTGTCAGACAATAAAATATAGGACTCCAAAAGGAAAAAAAAACTGTCTAAAGTTTGTGTCCTTTAATAAAAAGTAAACACCCATTAACCACCAGGGATAGATGTTGAGGGGGGGCAAACCAGAAGTCCCATCATTTGCCCCAGCACAGCGGTAAGCTCTTTTCTCTTCTAACTTTTATGATCATCACTTTTTTATTCTATTTCATAATTTTATCATCTAAAATTATAATTAGTTTTACCTTTAGAAATATGCTTTTTCTCTTTTATTCTATAGATTCTCATTGAAATGTATATTGTGTGGTAGAGATTCCCATAGTGTGTATTTTGCTGATTGCTCCCCAAGGCATAGTTGAATATGTATTTGTATTACCTGTATTGCCTGTAAATTGGTAATTGGCCATGGAGGTTAGCTGAGATTCAGTCTTGATTTATTTTTCACTTGGACTTGTTTCATGGTACTGGATTCTGTTCTTCCATCAAGAGGAAGAACCAAACATTAGTTTTTTCTAGTATTGTTATTACTTGTCATTGCTATTCAATGGTTAAATCTGTTAATTCATGATGGGTTGCAAAAGAGTTATTATAGTCTAAATCTCTCATTCCTTCCTCACTTATCTAATAATTTCTAAAGTAAGAGATTTACCCTCCTCTACTATTTGTTTACTACTAGAAACTTGTTTTTTGAGAGACTAAGACAAGCATCTACTCACCTATGACCTAGCAATTGCAATCTTAGTTATAAACCAATAGAAATGTATGTATCTGTGTGCCAAAATACATAAAAATATTATTCATAGCAGCACGATTTGTAGGATCGGGATACAAAACAATTGTCTATCAATAGTGAAGGGATGAGAAGTGTGAGCTATTATACAGTGGAATGTTGGACAGCCATGGGAGTGAATAGGCTACGACCACACACGTCAAGATGGTGAGACCCAGGGACATGATGGTGACTACATAATACCATTCAACTAGAACTGGCAGAACTAATCTGTGTTAGGAATCAAGAGTGGACTTCTGCCAAGATGGCCGAATAGGAACAGCTCTGGTTTGCACTTCCTAGCAAGAGTAAGCCAGAAGGCGAGTGATCTCCACATTTCTAGCTGAGGTCAGGTTCATCTCATTGGGACTGGTTAGACAGTGAGTGCAGCCCAAGGAGGGCAACTGAGGCAGGGTGGGGTGTCGACTCACCCAGAAAGCCAAGGGGCTGGAGAACTCCCTCTCCTAGTCAAGGGAAGCCATTAGGGACTTTTCTGGACACTCTAGCACACTTGCTCATATACTGCTCTTTTCCCATGGTCTTTACAACCTGCAGACCAGGAGATTCCTTCTGGTTCCTACAACACCAGCTCCCCGGGTTTCCAGCACAAAACTGGGTGGCTGTGTTACCCACAGCAGTTTTCTTTTTTTTTCTCATACCCCCATGGCACCTGCAACTCCAGCGAGACAGAACTGCTCATTCCCCTGAAGAAAAGAGAGCTGAAGCCAGGGAGCCAAGTGATCTGGCTCAGGGGGTCCCACCTCCAGGAAGACCAGCAAGTTAAGATCCACTGGCTTGAAATCCTCACAGCCAGCACAGCAGTCTGAGCTCAACCTGGGACATGAGCTCAGTGGGGGGAAGGGGTGTCCCCCATTGCTGAGGCTCAGGTAGGTGCTTTTAACCTTGCCTGTGTAAATAAAGCCCCTGGGAAGTTTACACAGCAACTGGGCAGAGCCCACGGCAGCTCAGCAGCGCCTCTGCAGGCAGACAGTGATCAGGATCCCTTCTTGCTAGGCAGGGCATCTCTTAAAAAAAGCGGTAGCCTGTCAGGGACTTATTTTAAAAAGCTCCTACCTTCCTGGGACATAGCACCTGGGAAAAGGGGTGGTTGTGGGTTCTGCTTCAGCAGACTTAAATATCCCTGTCCAGCAGCTCTGAAGAGAGCAACAGATCTCCCAGCACAGCACTTGAGCTCTGATAAGGGGCAGACTGCCTCCTCATGTGGCTCCCTGGCCCCCATTTATCCTGACCAGTAGACATATCATACAGGAGAGCTCTGGCTGACATCTGGCAGGTACCCTTCTGAGATGACGCTACCAGAGGAAGGAACAGGCAGCAATCTTTGCTGTTCTGAGGGCCCCACGGGTGACTCCCAGGCAAGCAGGGTCTGGAGTGGACCTCCAGCAAATTTCAGCAGGCCTGCAGCCAAGGGACCTGATTGTTAGAAGGAATACTAAAAAACAGAAAGAAATAGCTTCAAATCAACAGAAAGGACATCCATTCAGAGACCCCATCCAACAGTCACCAACTTCAAAGACCAAAGGTAGATAAATCCACGAAGATGGGAAGAAACCAGCACAAAAAGGCTGAAATCGTCAAAAACCAGAACACCTCTTCTCCTCCAAGGGATCACAATTTCTCACCGGCAAGGGAACAAAACTGGATGGAGAATGAGTTTTATGAATTGACAGAAGCAGGCTTCAGAACATGGGTAATAACAAACTTCTCCTAGCTAAAGGAGCATGTTCTAACCCAATGCAAGGAAACTAAGAAACCTGAGAAAAGGTTAGATGAAATGCTAACTAGAAAAACGACTTGATGGAGCTGAAAAATCAAGAGTGTCTACTCTAGGGTGGGGAGGGTGGTTCATGACAAAGTAGGCCCCAAAGGTGTTTCTGGGAGGTTGCGATGGCTGTACTGTGATGTGGGTGTTGTTTGCCCGAGTGTTCACTTTGTGAAAATACGCTGCCCACTTGTGGGTTGTCCTCCTTTCTCCATGCATGCTGTGCTTCACTCAAATATACATTTCTGGTGTTTTTAAGCAATTCTATCTACAGCAAGAAGAATTGCTCCTACTACACATCCTTGGAAATGCTGCACTGAAAAAAATGAATGCAATTTTTTTAAATTCCAGGAAATAAAAACATATAAAGAGGAGAATCTACAACAAGAGCAGTAGGCTTGGGAGTTGACACCAGAACAACTTTGGAAATGGCTGTCGAGCCAGGAACTAGGAATCAAAACCCAAACAGGCCCACGGGAGGTGGAAGATGTGAAATGATGCCCCAGTAGTGCATGAATGAATGAATCATGGGCAGTGGCTCATGGCTTGGCTGGCCAGTCACCAACTTGAAGAAAACAGAGTTGGAAAATTGGGAGGTGGAGGAGGGAGGTACACATAGACCTCCTCCTATAGGCAGAATGTGTGAAGATAGT